AGGTCTTTTCCAACCCGGTTTATTCTACAATTCTACCACTGATGCACCTTTACAACACTTTGCAGCTAACACAAGCAGGTGCAAACAGAGATCCTGTACAAAGATTTACACAGGTCATAAAGAGGTTTCAGGGCTCCTCAGCTAATATAAACTGGTCCTAACACTACTAAAATCAGTGAAGCATCTCTGATTTACATCTGGTAGGAGCTGTTCCCCCATCCACTTGCTAATGAAAATGGAGCTCTTCATTAAAAACAAACAGCAAGAGGAACAAAAGAAGAAATGTGTGTGTGTGGCCTCATAAAGTGAAGGACTACAGAATAAAGGAAAGATCTTTCAAAGGGCAGAATTAAATAAAAAAATTGTCATGGATCTTGTCCCTGTCCACTGCATCAGTTTATAAACCCATTTTGAGCACACCAATCTGCTCTGACAACCACTTGAGCAGAAATAGTATTTGAAGCCTTCTCATAATCTCGAGTGGGAGGAAAATTCTGTACTTCCCAACAGAGAGGGCTCTGGATTAAGGGAGACCATAAACTTTTCATAAATGAGCACACTAAAAATAAACTAAATATCTCAGATTAAACCTAAATGTTAGATTTCTAAATATTAAAATCAGATAATTTCCTGTCCTTTTCTCCCCACTACTTCCCCCCAAATTCAGACCTCTTTACTAGAGCTCTGCTATTCAGGTTTCCAGCACCTTACCCCAGAGTGCTAGGAAAGCTGTCATGAGGTGACTGCACATACAAACCTCTGCACAGACAGGATGAATTCCTACGGTTGTGTCCAGCTGTTCTTTTGTCATCCCACATTTAATAGCAGCTGCAAACCCTTGGGTGATTTCTCCAGCATTTGGACCAAGGACATGGAAACCAACGACTCTCTCCTAAATGCCAAAGAGAATCAAATGCAAGCACAGTCATGGGTTCAGTTCTCTTTAGACAATGTGTAAGGTTTTCTTACTCTGAGCATATAAATTAGCTCACAAAACATACCACAAATTAATATAACCACAGAAACGTGAACTATCATTAGCACCACCAGATGGGAGAGAGTTGATATGATTTTGTTCTCTCTCTGCAAAGATTCAACCAGGAGCTCAAGAGTCAGCTTCCTTACAAAGCTGTGCACAGGAGTCCTCCATTTCCCTCAACAACACTCAAATTTGACACAACCCATGGTCTACACTCCATTATTGTATGTGTCCCAATTGCAAACATGAACTGGAGTTTTATTCAGGCAAGTTATTCCACTCAGTCCAACAGGATGTTTGCCAGAGTAAAGATGAGCACCCTGCACGAAGGTTTGCAACATCAAGGCCTATGGTAGGTAGCTACATGGTCTTTATCTGTTGAAGAACTATCAGTTTGATAGCTGCTTACAGGGAAGAGCCACAACCTGAAGTTGTGGCTAACCAGATGTGGCCAGAAGCACACCCTAACCAAACTGATGACTACTCTTCGTTGCAGTGTTGACTTTCATTGGGAGATAATATACCTAGAGACTGGCAAAACAAGCATCCAGTCACAAAGAAGGTGCTATTCACACTTCTCATATCTATACTACTGCTCAGTAGCAAAAACATGTCAAACTGCACACACATCCTCAGAAAACACTCAACAGAACAAGTTGTACTGACTTTTAGCACATGCCAAGTGCTGTGGGCTTCAGTGGCCTTCAGGGCATTAATCAGACCTTGCTGAGCATAGATGCAGCCCATCTGGGTCTCAAGTTATCTGGTCTTCCTGCTAAATATCACATAGACTTGATACAATGGATACTCAGTCCACCAAAAGGTTATGGTTCTTTCAGTAAGCCTGAGATTTACCACAGGGTTTATTTCAATAAGAAAAGCTTTAATTGGGCAATAACTAAAATGGAATTATCCTTATTTTCCTTACAAAATATGGACATATGTAAAAATAAAACCATAGTAATGAAACCAAGGGAATGAGAGTTTTAAATAGTTGCTGAACTGTTTTTCATCGAGGGTAACTTTCAACTCTTCCCCTAGATGCTTAAACATGCTTCAAATTTTCAGGACAAGAAGTGAAAACAAATTAATGAAACATCTGAAACCACTGTAAAACCTTTTCATGTTCTTAGGTGACTTTGGATTAGAACATAACCATGGGTTCTGAGATACTTCCCGTGCTAGTGCATGGAACGCTCCTCCAGCAAGAGGAGATGTGCAAAACCACACGTGATGCTTAGAAAGAGTGCAGGAAGAGAAATCTGTATCTCAGGAAAAAACAATATATAGCTAAAGTTTGTGCTTTTATTTTTAGGACAGGTGACTATGCAGTGTCTTAACAGGAATTAAATTTTATAGCATATTACTCTTCATAATAATGAATGTTATTAAAAACAATTGAATTTGATTAAACAGATCATTCAGAGATGAGCACAATCATTCTTTTAACCAGTTAGTAATTTTGCTTCTACTTCAGCAGTTACTGAACATTTCCAGTGCCAGGAAATGTTATCCTAGTCCAAGGATAATCCTGGCATTATTTCCCTGAATGAGATTTGTGCAGGCAAGATACATTATCCTGCTAGAACAAGCTGAGGAGTCTTCTAAATGCAGGTGGGTTTGCAGAGGCTACAAGTGGTGATGGTTTCAGAGAGAAGAACCTCGCAGGAAAGAATGTCCCACTTGGGGAAGGAGAGAATAAGATAAACCAGTAACACTCCTAACCATATTTACACGCATTGATTCCCTCTTCTTTTTTCAGTCTTAGAAATCTCTACTTCTTATTTTACACATGTGGAAGAAGTGCCATATACCAACAGCAATGGCTAAGGGTCAGTTTTGTATAAACAGAAGTATTGTATCACTGTGAATATTTTTTACATGTCAAAAGGCAGATAAATTGACATTCAATTGAAATTTGTTCAAAATAACTTATTTATAGCTGTGGTGTAATCAACAGTTCCTATGGTGAACGTATAGAGACTTTTCCCTGGAAGGAAAGATGCACTTACATTATCTTGAATGTTGCAAATGATCTTTGCATAGCATTTGTTGTTGTCTCTGGATGGCACAGTCCACTCCAGTGGCCAGAAATGACTATGGTACACCTGGAAATACAACACAGGGGAGAAGAGATTTGTGTAATTTCCCAGCAGAGAGCATAATCATAGAATCATAGAATTGTAGAGGTTGGAACGGACCTTAGAGATCACCCAGTCCCAACCCCCTGCCCTGGGCTGGGACACCTCCCACCAGAACAGGTTGCTCAAGGCTTCATCCAACCTGGCCTTGAACACTGCCAGGGTTGGGGCAGCCACAGCCTCCCTGGGCAACCTGTGCCAGTGTCTCACCACCCTCACAGGGAAAACTTCTTCCTAATATATAACCTAAATTTCCCCCCCTTCAATTGTTACCCATGGTCTTTCAAAACCTGCCAGATTATTTTAAACACTGAGCCAAACATGCAGCACTTAGAATATCTGAAAACAGGGTGAGACTCACCCTGACGAATGCCAAAGAGGGAAGTCTCTATGAAACAAGCATTAGTGTCATTCAACAATTAAAAAAGGAGAAGCTGTAAGTATACAATTGTATTGCACTCCACACTGAGGAAGTGCCAGCTCAG